CATGCGTTTCGCCATGCTAGGAAAATAGACGCGGCCAAAAGTGTTAGTTTTGAAAAAAAAATTAAACGGTGTTAGATTTAAAATTAGTTTAAAAAAGTGTTAAAAATAAAAAAAAATCTACGTAGCATGCTGACGTCAGAGTCGTGCATGTCTGCTGCTACGGCCGGCGCGCCGGCGTCACCGTCATGCGTGGCGCCGCCACGGCAGCGTGTGTCCCAACCGGGCCACGGGGAGACGCCCCACCCCACCGACACGCGCGGGCCGCAGCGAGCCTCATGGTCGAGGCCCCGCCTCGCGTCAGGGCTGAGCGCGGAAGAAGGGTGGCGGCGAGGCCTCAACGCCTGCCTCCCCGCTGGCAGTGGCACCCCGATGCCGTCAGCGACGTCGTCTTCTGTCCATTTCAGTGTCGCCGCCACGCCCGTCGGCGCCTCAGCTGGTGATTCCGCAGGCCAACTGTCGCCACCGATGGCTGCGCCGAGCGATTCCGGATCGGCTGATGACGCCGGCGAGAGCAGGAGAGCCACGGCGCACAATGAGAGGACGACGTGAAGCATCATACGCGTGCGTGAGGCATGCATGCATGGTGTTGCCTTGCAAATCTTTTCTTTGCTTTGGAGGATCAAGGTGAGACAGCCACAGAGGGTACTTATATATAGGAACATTATTTTTCTTTGTAACTTGCAAACGTTAATGGAGGAAGTTTTTTTTTAATCCAAGTGTGTTGTAGATCTAGTAACGTACACACTTAATGAGAAACATTGCCTGAAGAAAACCGTTTCTTTAAAGTTCAGATGTTAACTGAGAGATTTCAGCAGCTGACGGCCTGACGGGTACAATTTTTTTTAGCAACACCTGACGGGTACATTTGTGACATCTATACAGACTATAATTGAGAGAACTCGACCCATGGGGCCCACCAGGAAGCGGTGGTAGCAATGCTCATGCTTTTCAGAGAGAGCCAGAATGCCAGATCACCTCCCGAAAACAATGGATTCTAGGCAATAGAGCATACTTCTATTATATCATCCCACGTTCAGTGTTTCATAAAACAAGCCACTCCAGGTCTCCAACGGCCCAGCGATTCTGTTCGCTTGTCTTATAATCTGTACTTTTCGGCTTTCTTTTCAGTCGGAACAATATTTTTCTTTTATAATAAATCAGCCGGAACAGTATTTCATCTTGTTTTTTCAACGAAACGAACGGGGCCACTAGGGTGCTGACTGCCAACGTTTCGATTAGGGCTCTCCACTTTTCCTCTAGCAGCCTGTATTCGGCTTATAAGTCTTGGCTTATCAGCCAACGAACAGTATTTTTCTCTCACACCAAACCAGCCAGCAGTACTTTCAGTCATGGCTTATAAGCCAATCCAGCCGAAACGACTGTAGCTCCAATGCTCCATCGAAATCAAATCCCTTCTCACCTTCCAGCAGGCCAGAGAAGAGAAGGTCTCCGAGCATCTGCATTTCTGGCCAGTACAGAAAGATGTGAATTAAACCCAAATAGCCTCTTGGGTTCTGCTGAGCGCATATTATTAGCCAAAGACACTGTTGATTGTTGTCTGAGTTCTGCTGATTCTGCTGAGTGCATATTTGCCCTGTTCGTTTGGCTGATAAGCCATAGCTAAAAGTATTGTTAGATAATTTGTTGTGAGAGAAAAATATTGTTCGTTGGCTGAAAAAAGTACGGCTTATAAGCCAAGCGAACAGGACGATTATTAGCCAAAGACAACTGTTGATTTTGCTGACCAGTACATAAAGATGTGAATTAAACCCAAGTTTTTTTTTTGGTTTTCCATATCAATCGCCGTGTCAATTGTTTATGTGATTGCTATAAGCCTATAATTCCACTGTTGATTGTTGTCTGAATTCTCCTCGTTGCTCATCACAGATGAGGAACTAACTGGTGCATTGTTGCTGCCTTTTTATTGCAATAGTATATGTTTTTCCCCATATAGTACGCTCATTATATATTGGTATGAATGAATGCATTTTTATCTATAAGAATGACTTAACAGTGTTATATCCACTTCATATATACCATTATACCATATATGAGCATATTGATTCATCAGCACCGTATATGTGAGTTTATTTTCAGGGGCAAAGCCCTGTCCAAGTTGACCTATATTCAAACAGGGTCATTTCAGACGTATATATATATGCTACAAAACATATGAAAGTATATATCCTTTTACTCACTTTCTGAATTTAGAATCAAAGGCCATGCCAGCAGCATACGAGTTACCAGAAGGGCATGCTTGTTTGGCAGCAATGCAGAATGTAGCAAAATAGAAGTCAGCCATCATAAATTCGCGACTGGGTACATACTGTATATACCAGCAACATACTACTGAAGAAGACTCAGCATCAGTAACGAGTCTTCAAATGTTGCTGGTATATATGTTGCTGATGTATTTCCAGTAATATATATAAGTTTTCTTCAACAATATCAGTAACATAGTCAATAACGATTTTTCCTGTACAGCTGTTATTCATGAAATTGGCTAGGTAATGTCTTTTGTGTAATATATATCTTTCAGTAATATATATATGTGATGTATGCTGCAGCATATATATAAGTTTTAGGAAGTAAGCTGCACATGTGCTTGATAACTTGACAAATGCAGATACAAGACAAGTTGTGCGGTCACGAAACATCAGTCAAGTCACGATGGATACATTTGCATATATAGCATCATTCATGATTGTATAGAAAACGGCAGATGTTTACTGCAGGAAAAAGGGTGGATTCATCTATATATCAGTTCCACAAGTTCACTTACCAAGCATATGCAAAGAATTTTAAAAACCGGAATGTTAACCTGACACAGATTTCAGTCCACGATCCTAAGGATTCAACAGGAATGGAGACAACTAATTGACCATGATCACTAACTCTTTGCTTGCTCATGCTCAACTAAAAACAAAGCACTTAAAGCATCATGTCTGCCATAAGCCAATGCACCAACACAAGGTTCATCATCATGGAATGAACGGATCCCAGTGTTCTCATCATGGTACTGGTGGTGAGCCCGTAGCATGATCTGAAAAGACACAATTGATAAACTCATAACCATGCCATAGCTCAGATTCCAACAAACTGAGTCGTGATATTTCAAAAAAAATTAATGTGATTGGGTTCTTGTGTGGCGTGTGCTTGGGATTGGCCATAGAGGAGAGTACAGCTGTACAGGAAAAAATTGGATCATCAGTATCTAGCTAGTTTCAAGTACTATGTAAGTTAGACACTGACTTAGATCATATTAGATTAGATTTGATAGCATTCTGCATTCATAACCTCGATTCTCTTGAGTATCCAGTCATCCACAGTTTTTTTGTGACAAATTGCTGAAAATCACAACTAAGCAAGAATGCTGTACAGGGCTACTAGAAATTACCTGGAGTATAGAAGCTCATGTAAGGAATGACAACGTCGGGCCTTCTGCTGGACATCTTCTTGACTTGGCCTGACTCCAGGTTAATCGCGAAGATGCCAGCGCTTGTCCTGACGAAGATGACGCCGAGGACCTCCGCGAAGCCAACCGCAGTCATATCTTCCTCCATCAAGACCTCCGTGAAGCCAAGCGCAGTTGGTTGGTTCAAGGGGACACGAGTCTCGCGATCGGGCAGTGTGTTGAGTTCCAAGACCCTGCTCTGCGTCCATGCCGCCGCAGTTCTGTCAGAACCGGTCTCTCTCGACCACACGTAGAGGCGGGACCCCCGCACGCTGGCGAACCCCAGACCACCGCCCATTGCCGGCATGAGGATACCGTGACCTTGGTGCGCTAACGGCGGGTCGACAAATGCGAGTTTCCGGCGACCCAAGTCGTACTCCACGATGGTCTTGCTCTCTGCAGCGGGGAAGTAGATCCTATTTCCCACAAGCGCGACGGGATGCATCATGTCCATGTCCGCGAGGTCATTGGGGTGTTGAGCGTAGGTCGCGTCGCTCCAGGCTCCGGTCTCCGAGGAGTAGACGCGGGCGTACGTCCTCCCATCGTCGTCGGTGTCCACGAATGCGACGAGGAAGGGTCCGCCGTGGCAGTCGAGGTGGTCGCAGTCGCAGCCCCCTTCGCGCGCGGCCGCAGCGCAGAGCACCGCCACGCTCCAAGAGTCGAACGGGGACGGCATGTGCAGCCCCCACCGCTCACCCGTGACGGGGCTCCATACGAAGAGGTCATGGTCATTCTCCTCGCCGGTGGCGTTGCTGAAGAGGATGCGGCCGTGGCGGGCGTCGCGCACGTAGCAGCCGGCGTGGTCGAGGGTGCGAGGGCGGAAGGAGGTGGTGCGGACGAACCGCGCGAGGAAACGACTGCTGGGGAGTTCCAGGTGGAAGAGGAGGCCCAGCATGGGAGGCACCCCGTGGAACGCGCGGTAGCGGCGAAGGAAGGCGGGGTCGGTGAGGAGGCGGCGCCAGGGCTTGCAGACGGCCGAGCAGCGAACGAGGCGCCTAGGGTCGTGTGGCTGGAGGCGGAGGAGGATCTCAGGGATGATGTCGTCAGACAGATCCAGCAGCGAGCGGCCGCACAGGCGTTTCGGCGGAGGAGGCGTGGCCATGGTTGCTATCGCCGCGGCGTTTGGGGTTGGGGAGAAGAATAGGGAGAGCCGACTGCTTGCCGGCGCGGCGGCGCCCGGCGCTTCAAATAGAATCAGTTTGAGAGGACGGCCGATGCCGGGGTGGGAATAGTAACCGGCCGCCTGAGTTTCTTGCCGTGTCAGCTCGGATGACTAGTGTCACTGTGCCGGCCCAAACCACTTTGGCCCATCCGAATTTGGGTCACGGCTCAGTTTGGCCCATTTTCTACTACGATTCATTCGCATTGATTGTGAATTCGTGATTACTACCTGGAGCTGGAAGGCGGAGAAGCCAGTCGTTCATCTTCATCCGCCCGCCTGCAGCCATTCTATCCAAAAACGCCGGGCAACCCCGCTTGGCTTCTTCAATCCAAAAATAAATCGCACCATTTTCACCCATCACTCGCAGGTCGCAGCCTCTTCCTGATGCTTCGCCTCTCCATCGCCGTCCTCACCTCACCTCTCCTACCCACGTCCGTCCCCGCCGTCCGACCCCATCCGCGTCGCCTACTCCGCCTCCGCGTCCGCTCCCTCGCCGCCGCCTCCTCGCTCTCGCCGTCCGCCCGCAGCCTCCGCCTCCTCGAATGGGGCAAGGTCTGCGACGCCGTCGCCTTCTTCGCCGGCACTGCCCACGGCCGCAACGCCACAAAGGTATCGCGCTCCGATCTCCCAGGATGTCATTTATCGTTGCCGGAGTACCGACGAAGGGGTTAATCTCTGATGCCAGGCGTTGTATACTTGTATGGTTTGGTATGCGGGTGCAGAAACAACTGTGGGAGGTGGAAGATGTGAGCTATGAGCAGAGCCAGAGGCTGCTCCACGAGACGGAGGCGGCCGTGTGGTTGCTTGACAACGCTGGTGGGGCGATGGATTTCTCGGGGTTGGATACAGTTGCGGTGAGGACTCAGGCTGCTTGAAATATTTGCGGTTTGGCAGTATACTATCATAGAGTTCATTAATCAAATTGTGTATTACTTCTTAACCCTGTTTGGAACCTTAGAGATCAGTAGAAGTAACTACTAAACTGCTCCCTATGCGCCATTTCTCTGTGTCTTGTACTAGTTAAGTTCTGTAACCCAGACACAAGTTCATTCTGTATTGGTTTATGACTATGATACTACATGGTTTTACTTTTCAAGAAATTAATGTACTACTGTAGCCATGATATGCCAATATAAAATAAAATTTAGTATGAAATGCATGGAAAATAACCCACATGTTTCTGAATCTATTTGTGGTCTCGATCTTAATTGTTAATGATGACATTTTAATGGCACTGTTCTTAGCAATACATTTTGCTTTACATACCTAGGCACAATACATTTTGCTTTACATACTTAGGCACAAACATACTATTGATTCTTTTGTTTGTATGTTGACCTGAAGATAGAGTCAGCAATACATTGTGTCTCTGGGGGCGCCGTGATAAAAGGCCTGGAAGCAATGGCAGTCGCTAGCTTGATGCTGTTTGTTGAATCATTGCAAGTAAATATTAAAGCTGCCATAAAGCTGGATGAAGGCTCACGTAGTCGATTAACGACACTTACAGAAACAGTAAGTGCATCTTTTTTTTTGTTTTGCTATCTAGCATCTTTTTTCATCTCTTATTATTTAATTTCGTTCAAAAAACATTCATGACAGTGCACTGTGCTGAATCTACTTGTTCTGAACTGCAGATTTTAGATGCTGTAATTAACAAGTCACTAGTGAAATCCATACAAGATATCATTGACGATGATGGCTCTGTTAAAGATACTGCAGTTTGGTTTTTGCACCCTATTTTTAATTCTATTTCCTTCCAGTGATGTTATGCTAGCATTTCATTCGCAAATTTATGAATGCCTTATCTGAGCAATACCTCAATTCTGTTTATTAAATTAATAGAGGGTTAAACATGAAATTTGGCTGTCATCCATATTTGAAATTCCTTGCGATCAATTGATGTGGCATCCTAAGATTAATCCTGAGCATTCACACATGCTTACTCATTCTTCAATTTCAATTTATCAAAACTGCATGTATGGATGTTCGAACTAAAGTGACTTTATGAATCATATATTGTTATTAGTTGGTCTAGGCGTCTACTAAGTATGTCATCTGTTCGCTGTAACTCATACCCATTGTCTTTTGTGGTTTTCTTTTCTTATGGTTCTTTATAACTTATCCTGACTATTATTTTTACGTCCTATTTTTATGGCCTTAGAAGGGCGGGCCTGGTGCAAGCGGTAGAGTCTTACCGCCTGTGACCGGAAGGTCCCGGGTTCGAGTCATGGTCTCCTCGCATTGCACAGGCGAGGGTAAGGCTTGCCACTGACACCCTTCCCTAGACCCCGCACAGAGCGGGAGCTCTCTATACTGGGTACGCCCTTTTTTTATTATTTTTATGGCCTTGGCGATTGTGTTATCATTTCAGTAACACCTGATTTATTGCCAGCTCCGTGGCTGTGCTGCATGAAGCATAAGTTATCCTTCTAGACAATTTTTTTCTGACTGAATTACCAGCTCTATTTCACCAATATAACTGTAGGATAAAAGCTATGTTGCTACATCACTACCTAAAAGCTCGATGTTATCTTATATGTTACTGGACTAAACAAGGCATCCTAACTTAGTGTCCATATTTTTTCCCTAGTTGCATTTACAAGGCACATTTTACAATCTACTAGTATAATACCCATGCTAACGCAACGGTTTTATCTAGAGAATGATCATAAAAACATCCAATTTGTTATTTTGTAGTTTAACCTTTACCCAATTATTATATTGTAGCCTAAGTTACATTTGGCGTAAGTCCTTTATCATTTGTTGCACATCTTCAGGGATGTTGAAACATTCGTTTGCAGGACTTGTCAAAATGTCAGCCAAGAATTCCTTCCTCAGTGTAGATGATAGCTGCGCATGGTATAGAATATAATATGTTAGTTGTATGTAGTGTACGGAATATAGTTGGAGACTATATATGCTTACAGTGGTGATCTAAAGGTGTTCATTTGTTTTATTTAAGGTAATAAATCTACTCTTTCATTTGTTTCCCTAGTTGCATTTACAAGGCACATTTTACAATCTAAAGGTGTTCATTTGTTTTATTTAAGGTAATAAATCTACTCTTTCATGGAATGTTGTTGACGTTGATTAACTCTTAAAAGTTACGTGTTTTTAACTTTTACAGTTATATCAGCTTATGGACAAGTTGACGCGCAATGCTGATGATGAAGGTTCCTTGTCGGTATTGTTTCATTTAGCTCACTTATTGCTAAGGAAACAACATATTCAATGAATTACAAACTATGATTTTTTACAGGAAGTATGCATTGTAAATGGAAGATGCTGCATTAGAACAACAATGGATAATTCTTCAATTTTTTATGGATTATTGCTCTCCAGGTGTGCCAAACATTATAGATTCTTCGTTGATGACAATTTCCTGAAACCATTTTCTGTTTCTTCTAGCAATATATAAAACCTGTATATGTTCTCCTGCTTTATGGTTTACTGATTCCCATAAGATTTGGAGATTTGGATTTTTAAATGGTTTTACAAAATGACTTACTCAATTCATTTGGAAAGCCGGGTTTATTTCTATATCATTTAGCACTCATTTGTCTGCTTGAATGCTTGTCAGTAATAACATCTGCATGAATGATATTTTTTTGGCAGAAGAATCATGTGGTCCCAAACCCCAAAAATATATAACAATTTGCGACCTGTGTGTAAAAGGAACATGTCTATAATTTTATTTTAATTTGGTAATTCAAGAATATATTTTAATAAAGATTCATATATGTACTATAGCGGGTCAGATGCTGGAAGCACGATAGAACCAATTGCTGCTGTTCCGTTGAACGATGAGTTGCAGGAATCAAGAGCACTAGTGGCTAAAGCTGAACTGGATGTCTTATCAAAACTTACTGATAAGGTTGTGAAAGATGGCCTATTTGATTTTATAATTTGTTGTTCTCTTTTGTTCACTTTCTATCTTTCGTGTGCAGATTCTTCTTGATCTTGATAGCATCCAGAATTTGCTTCAGGAAGCAATTAAACTCGATAAGGTTTGTTCTAAATCATTATTTTGTATGGATCTTAATACTTCATGTTCTGAAGTATTCAATGAAAAAATTGACAAGGAACTATGCACATATGTATGAACATAAAAATTTCTATGATTAAATTGCAGTACTTAAATGCTTGCAGTTATAATTTCCTGAGTTCTATACTTGTTTCTGATGGTCATTTTGTATTATTGAGATAACATCAAACTCTTTGCACGAACAGACCACTGATTTATTTTCGTTCTTATGTGCTGCCATTAGTTGACAGTTGTGTATCGGTTTACAGGCACCCAGCGAAAGGTTTTCATAATTCTTATTCTTGACTAATGATGCATTTCTTACTTCCTAGCATGGAAATATCCTTACCAAACCCGTGCTAGAATTCATAGCCAGGCCGAGGCAGCAGGATGAGAAGCATAAAGACTGATCGATCTAGTCATTTAAGTAAAACTGTATGTCTGGCAGAAAATTATGTACCATTATCTGCTATCATATACTCCCTCCAGGCAGAAATAAATGATGTTTTCGGGTTGTCTTAAGTCAATCTTTCCAAACTTTGATTACAAGTTTTAATGTTTTGAAGTGATATAAGTAGATGTTTATTGAAAGATAGTTTCATAAAGATATACATTTGCTATTTTTATTGATATATTATAACTAAAAGTAGTGGCTAATGTCAGACAACAACAAAATGTCACTTATCTGTGATTGGAAAGGCTAGTTGCCTAGTTCACAGTCCACCTAAATGGTAGAGTTGGCGTTACGGACTGTCAAACTTCATAGTGTAAGCTACTAAGGAATCTGAAATCTGCTCTGCTCAAATCTGAGTCTTGAGGGCCGGGTCAATTCTACTTTTCTTGAAAATACTGTTCAAAACTAGAAATGTCTAAACCATGGATTTTGCACTGTATAAAATTATTTGAGTTACTATTTAGTTTTGGAAACCGTGGGATGGCATTTCTGACCTTTCTTTGACTCATTATTTTCACCACTTGCTTTACAGATCGCAGCTCGTGCAAAATACAGTGTAGCATATAATGGAACATTTCCTGACCTGTATTTGCCAAACTTTGAGAATGAAACAGTCACTAGTACTACAGGTGGACCTGTCGAACAAATTTCCTCAGCTCAACTTCCTAAGAAGGCATGGAAACTGTACATACTGATAGATATATACATTAGGAAAGTGTATATTAGGCAAGTCTATATTTAGTATGATTAGCACCTGCCATGTATTGTATATATGCTGCCATGTAATTGGCTATATATATCAATGTCACCCCCCCACATTGGGTGTGGTGTTTCCCTTCTATCTCTGCTATTCTACATGGTATCACAGACCAAGATCAATTAGATCCTGGACCTTCTACTTCCGCCTCCTTCCACCCCACCTCTTCCTTGCTGGGCGCCCCTCCTCCTGTGGCGAGATGTTTTCCAACGCCGATGCCTCGGCCGCAGCCGCTGCCGCTGCTGCTGCCGCAGCCGCTGCTGCACCACCACCGCCGCAGGCCGTCGTCGTCCATCCCTACACCGCCGTGAACGTGAAGACTCACATTCCGTTACCACGGAGATGAAGAATCCTAACTTCACCAAGTGGGCTTCGTTCTTCAAGGCCTTGTGTGGGAAATTCAGCCTTCGCCCCCACATCGACGGACCAGCCCCCTCCGATCGCCGATCCATCGTGGGACATTGCCGAGTGCACCGTTGTCATGGTGGATCCTCAACACCGTCGACGACTTCGGTTCTTGATCTTGCCATCACCGACGAGAACCAGTCCGCCCGCATGAAATGTGGGTGGCGATTGAGGGCCTCTTCCGTTCCAACCGCGCGCCGGGGCGTCTTCCCCGCTTGAAGAGTTTCACTCCTTGAAACAGGTGACTCGACAATTGACGAGTCTCGCCAAATACTCAAGATCAAGGCCGCCGCTCTTGGGACGTCGGCCACACCATCGAGGACTCCCAACTCATCCTCGGCCTCCCTACGCTGCCTCAACCCACGCTTACATCGCCATCGCCGACGACATCGCCAACTCCCCGAAGCCGCCTTCCTTTTCGGTATGCGAGAAATGCTCTCCTCAAAGAGTCGCCTACCGCTAACGACGAGAAGACCACGGTTTGCATCTCGCCATGGTGGCCGCCTCTGCTCTGCACTTCTCCAGGTGCCGGCCCTCCTCCTCTGTGCCCATCAAGCGCCGCCTCTCCCAAGGGCTCTGGGGGCGGCAGAAAGGCAAGGGCGGCAAGAAAGGGCGGCTGGCCAAGCGCCAAGGCACTGGGCCACTGGCGGGCAAAAGGCAAAGCAGCAATGGGCATGACAAGGGCCAACCGCCCCATGGGGCCCGGGTTCTGCTACAACCCATGGGCCTTCCAGTGGCGTTCCTCCTCCAGTCCAGTGGCAAAGCAGGCGGCGAAGCCATGGCCAGCCCCTCTCACGGTGACCGTGGCATCATGGGTGCCACTCCAGCAGCCCACACCGCCTTCACTCCCCTCCGCCACTCCATCCGCTCCATCAGGGGGATCAGCCACCTCATCGCCGCTTTGAACCGGATGGCGCTCGAACTCCTACTGGGTCATGGACTCGGCGCCACCTCCCACATGCATAACTCGGATGGTATACTCATCTCCGTCAACTCTCTTCTATCCCATCCATTACTGTTGGCAGCGGCCATCATCTTCCTGTCTCCTGCTCCGGCAGCTCCACTTTACCAGGCCACGCGTCTCCCTTCTCGCTTCGCAATGTTCTAGTTGTCCCTCTCTAGTGCGCAAACTTACTTTTCGGTTCGCCAATTCACTCGTGACAACAATTGCACTATCGAATTTGACGCTTTTGGCTTTTCTTATAGGACCCGCAGACCAGACGCGTGATTCTTCGCTCCAATAGCTCTGACGGCCTCTACACCGTCCCCTTGCCACGCCACAAGCCAACCTCGTCACCTCCACCGACCTATGGCATCATCGTTCTGGTCATCCAGAGTCTGCTACCCTCCATTTGCTTAGACACAATAATTCCATTTCACGTAATAAATCAGCTCATACTCTTTGTCACTCATGTCAACTTGGCAAGCATGTGCGGCGCCTTTTGGCACTTCCATTCCGCTTCCTCTTTACCTTTTGAGCTTATACACCGTGATGTTTGGACATCCCGGTCGCTAGTATTTCGGTGCATGTACTACCTTGTCATCCTCGATGACTTCACCCACTTTTGCCGGACCTTTCCCTAGTCCACAAGTCCGAGGTAGCTACTCACATCACTCGGGCTTTGCGCCTTCGTCACACACGCTTCAGCCTTCCTGTCAAAATTTTTCAGCCGACAATGGCAATCAATTTGTCAACAATACCCTCGCCACCTTCTTCGCCTCTAGCGGCATTCACTTCGCCTCTCTCCCGCCTTTACACTCCCTCAAAACGGCAAAGTGAACGTATCATCCGTTCTCTGAACAACATATGCCGCCGACGCTGCTCATCCATGCCCACATGCCACCCAAATATTGGGCGAGGCACTAGCTACGACCACATATCTCCTCAACAGCGCCCTCGCCACCATTCACCATAGAGTTCCCTATGAGCAACTCTTCAAGCAGTCCCAGACTACACTATTCTTCGTGTCTTGGTTGCCTCTGCTATCCCAATCTCACCACCACTTCCAAACACAAGCCGGCCCCTCGCTCCACAGCCTGTGTCTTTCTTGGATACCCCTCCTCTCACAAGGGTTATCGGTGTCTCGACCTCACAACTAGACGGATTATCATCTCCCATCATGTTGTCTTCGACGAGAATAATTTTCCGTTCAAGATCGACCCCACCAAAGGAGCCCACAAGCTCTCTGGATTTTCTTCTTCCAGTCTCACTGTGCGGGTGCACCAAATCGCCACCATGGTGCCCCCTCGCAGTCGCCCGTCGCCGATCGCCGGCCGAAAGGGCCATGACGACGCCGAGCTCAACTGGAGGAGCTCACGAGGACCCCGCCATCCTGATTGGGCCGGTCCTTCCTCCCCGCCCGGCCGCTCTGCTCCAACCGGTCCACCTCTACGGGTCTCACGTTCGGCGGCGTCTTGGTGCTCCCCGCCCATTCTTCCGAGCCGCCTCCTGCCTGCTTCATCCTGCACCGATCGTGGAGGTGCCCACCGGCGCGCCCGCCATTGCTCATCTGCACCAGTCGTGGAGGTGCCCCCGTCGGCGCCCGCTGTTCCAGAACAGCCGGCTCCTGCTCCAGTTGTGGCAGCCGGTCCGCCACCTCCTACTTCGAGCCGACCTGTGACGCGCCTCGAGACAGCTCGTTGAAGCTTCGCTGATCGTTACGGCTTCCCATCGCCCGCTCGCCACGCCGCCGCCTCCTCCACCGCCTCACCCATTCCCGCGACTACCGAGGGGCCCTTGCCCGACCCCGGTGGCGCGCGGCCATGGTCGAGGAGTACAAGGCTCTCGTCGACAACGACACGTGGCGACTTCGTTCCCGCCCCCAGTGCCAACGTGGTGACGAGCAAGTGGATCTTCTTCCGACAAGTTCCACTCCGATGGCACCTCGCTCGTCACAAGGCTCGTTGGGTCGTTCGTGGGCTTCACCCAGCGCCCACGGCGATCGACTACGACGAAAACGTTCAGCCCCGTCGTCAAGCCTGCCACCATTCGGATCGTCCTCAGCATCGCCGCTTCTCGTTAGTGGCCCATCCACCAGCTGGACGTGAAGAATGCCTTTCTTCACGGCCACCGCGAGAGACGTCTCATCGTCGCCAGCTTCCCGCTTCGTCGACCCGGCGCATCCCGACGCCGTCTGTCTTCTTCAGCGCTCCCTTTACGGCCTCAAGCGGTTCCATGGGCGTGGCACCGGTAACCGCCACGTGACGTTCGATACTTCGGCCGTTGCCTCTCGCCACCGACACCTCCTCTTCGCTCTACACCGAGGGCGGCGCCAAAGGCCTACTTGTCGCTATATCGTCGACGACATCGTCCTCACGGCTTCCTCGGAAGCTCGCCACGCGCATCATCGGTCGCCTTCACTCACGAGTTTTGCCATGACGGATCTTGGGGAGCTCCATCACTTCACGGGATCTCCGTCACTCGCTCCTCCGACGGGCTCTTCCTCGGCCAAAGGCGAGACGCGGTGGATCTTCTTCGAATATGGGCATGGCGAATGTCACTCGACATCGACGCTTTGTCGACTCTCGTGCCAAGCTCTCTCGCCACGGAGGGCGCTCCCTGTCGCCGACCCGCCCACGTCTCTGCGAGTCTCGCCGGCTCACTTCATGATTTGACACTCACTCGCCCCGACACGACGTGACGCATGCGGCGGTGTGCCTCTTTATGCATGATCCGCGCTGGCTCACCTTGCGCCCGATCAAGCGCATCCTTCCGGTATGTGAAGGGCACACTCGTCACCGGCCTCCACATCAAGACCGGGGCCTATCGACAAGTTGATTGCCTACTCCGACGGCCGGGCAGGCGGTGCCCGACTCTCGCCGCTCCACCTCCGGCTTCTGCGTCTTCCTCGGCGACAGCTTGGTGTCCTGGTCGTCCAAACGGCAAACCACGGTGTCCCGGTCCAGTGCAGAGGCCGAGTACCGGGCTGTTGCTCATGTGGTCGCAGAGTGCTGTTGGCTTCGACAGCTTCTTCAGGAACTTCATGTTCCATTGAAGGTCGCCACAGTTGTCTACTGTGACAACGTCAGCGCTGTCTATATGACAGCCAACCCGGTCCACCACCGCCGTACCAAGCACATTGAGATCGACATCCATTTCGTCCGTGAGAAGGTGGCTCTCGGCGAGGTTCGCGTTCTCCATGTGCCGTCCAAGTATCAGTTTGTTGATCTCATGACAAAGGGGCTGCCGGTTCAGCTCTTTGAGGATTTTCGGTCCAGTCTGTGCATCCGGAATCCTGATGCTTCGACTGAGGGCGGCTGATAGATATATACATTAGGAAAGTGTATATTAGGCAAGTCTATATTTAGTATGATTAGCACCTGCCATGTATTGTATATATGCTGCCATGTAATTGGCTATATATATCAATGTCACCCCCCCACATTGGGTGTGGTGTTTCCCTTCTATCTCTGCTATTCTACACATACCAAATGCATATCATCCACTACTTCTTCAGCGGCATCAAGAAAATATCCATCGTGCCAAAAGGGATGCTGCAAGTGCCACAGCAGTGAGTTTATCTGGCTCCATGTAAATTTTTTTCATAACAAAATTCTGCAAAAAGGATATTGGTTGAAATTGAGGATACATCTATTTACTTCTGAATATACCCTTGAGTATAAAATGGTTTCATTTGCTGTTTGTCAATCAGTAGTGATTTTACTTCCATGTTGTAGGAGATCCCGAGGAGGAGGATATATGGGCAAGATATTGCAGAAGAAGATCAACTGGCGTCAGACCTTGATTCCATGAAACTTGGGGTTAGTTTTTGTTTGGTATTACTGATGATTGCTATTAGTTTCATTGCATAATTTGTGCGCCCGTTTTCAGGTTTCCCAACTGGAGAAAGACCAGCCAGTACCAGTAGATTTTATGATTGCTGAAGAAACTACTGTCTTGGTCATAACTGGCCCAAATACAGGGGGTAAAACAATCAGCTTGAAGACGGTTGACCTGGCATCATTGATGGCTAAGATAGGTAATGGAGTAACCATATGCATATTGTTTCATTGTTACCATTGTGAACATTACCGACTTATACAGACTTCTGTAGATTATGCAGTTGCAGATTTTCCTTAATGTTTGGGATTTTTGTCTGATTGATGTAGTCACCAACTACATATTTTGTTGCAAAGGAAACCAAAGATAATAAGTACTTACCACCTACATTTCTAAGTGTTCTCTCTCTCTCTCTTTTCGAGAACATGCATTGCACATATTTCGTTAGGAGAAGGGGAAGCGCAACAAAGTGTCCAAACAAATAAACCAAAGTCTGAAGTGTTCACAGCTGGAATATCCTGCATAACATTGTCCATTCTGCTGCAGGTCTATACATTCTAGCTTCTGAACCAGTAAAAATTCCATGGTTCAATGCTGTTTATGCTGACATTGGAGACGAGCAATCTCTGACCCAATCACTTGTTGCTCCCTCGGCTGCCCTGCACAAGTAAGCAGTAAGCTTACCAACACACTCAATCACTATGGCTAGAGGTAGAAGAAGATATTGAGAACAACTCACACACACACATCACAAGCCCAGCGCTGGCCGAAAGCTCTGCTTCTGGATGTGGCAAACTGAATTGCTCTTTTGCAATGCCTTATGTGTGATATATATACAAGTGCTAGTACCTCTACCAGGTACATAGTTGTTGGTGAATACACCAACTACCTACTCCTAAGGTACACCAACTACTCCTAGTACTAGCAGTACAAAGCTTAGATCAGCCCACTACCAAGACATGGCTGATGTAATAGCTACCAACTAATGTACTAGAGGTGATCTATTGCCATACTGCTACAACAGTAGAGACTGGACAGCCGAGCTGACCAAATGCCAACTCTGCTGCAGCAAGAGAGAGAGAGAGAGAGAGATCAACAACAGATTATGTCTTACAATTCTCCCCCTAATCCTGCTGCTAACCCGATGCCTTGACCTCATCCATGCCAATCATCTTCCTCAGCTCCATGAACCGCAGGCGCCCGAGTGATTTGGTGAGAATGTCAACGAGCTCTCTGCCGGTCTCGATGAACCCGATGACGATCTGCCCTCCATCGATCAGTCTCGGAGGAAGTGGAATTTGATGTCAATGTGCTTACTCCGGTCGTGGAGGACATGGTTCTTGGCGAGGGCGATGGCGGGCTGGTTGTCCACCATTAGAGCTGGCGGGTGAGCTTCCTTGCCGGTCAGCTCGCCCAGTAGCCGGCGCAGCCAGACAGCCTGGCACGCCGCTGTGGCTGCTGTGACGTACTCCGCCTCGCACGTCGACAGCGCCACGATCTTTTGCTTCAGCGACTGCCAAGCAATGGGGGCCGCTCCAAGGAAGACGAGCACGCCGGAGGTGCTCCGTCGCCCGTCGATGTCGCCCGCCATGTCTGCGTCGCTGAAAACAGTGAACTCTGGCTCACCTTCCTTTGCCTTGGGGGGTGCCTCACTGAAGACCGTGAGCCGCAACCCACCCTTGCCGCCACTCTTGGGGAAGATGATCGCTTGATCGAGCGTCCCCTTGACGTAGCGCAGCAGCCTCTTCATCGCCGTCCAGTGATATCCTCGCGCGGGTCCTCCATGAAGCGACTGACATACCCGACCGCGAACGTGATGTCCGGCCGAGTATGCGTGAGGTAGCGCAGCCCGCCGACGATGCTCCGGTAGCGCGTCGCGTCCACCTTCGCCGCCATGTTGTGCTTGGACAGCTTTAGCCGCTCCATTGGAGTTGCGCACGGCTTGCACTCCGCCATGCTGCTGCGCTCCAGCAGCTTCTCCGCATAGGCCCGCTGGCCTAGGGAGATGTGCTCCTTCCCCTGCCTCACCTCAATGCCGAGGTAGGAGGAGAGCGCGCCGAGATCACTCATTTTGAAACGAGCAGCCATCTCGCGCTTGAAGCCGTCGATGTCCTCCGCCCGCGTTCCAGTGACGATCAAGTCGTCCACATACACGCCGCCGCCGATTCTAATGCAAAGATGAAACCACTGGTGGCTTGGAGAAAATGTTCAAAGCCGAAAAGAAAAGGTGGGCTGGGAATTATCAATCTTAGGAGTCAAAACAAGACTCTTCTTTTGAAACATCTGGACAAATTCTATAATAAGAAGGACATCCCATGGGTGAAACTAATCTGGAATGCTCATTACCCACATGGTCAAGTACCCCATGTGTCAACTGATAGGGGCTCCTTTTGGTGGAAAGATGTCCTAAAACTATGTGATATGTTTAGAGGAATTGCTAAGTGCATTATTGGGGATGGTTCCACAGTGCTTTTCTGGTCTGATCTTTGGAATGATAACATTCTGGAATCCAAATTTTCAAGGCTCTACTCCTTTGCCAGAAACAAGAACATCTCTGTTGCTAAATTTCTATCAAATAACACACTTGAGGCACAATTTCATCTTCCCTTATCAGAGCAGGCCTTTCAAGAATTTCAAAGTCTCCAAGACCTTATTCAAGCTTTGCAGGTTGATCAAAATTCAAAGGATTCTTGGGAATACATTTGGGGAAGCAAGAATTATTCCTCCTCGAAGTGCTATAACTTTCCTTACAAGAATATACAACCTCCTGCTCCTTTTCTTTGGATTTGGAACTCCAAATGCTGTAACAAACTACGGGTCTTCTCGTGGCTTCTCCTGATGGATAGACTGAACACAAGAAACATCCTCAGAAGGAAAAAGCAAAAACTTCAGGGAAATAACTACAATTGTGTCCTCTGCAACAGCAACATTGAGGAATCTGCATTCCATTTGTTCTTCAGCTGCCCGTTTAGCCAAACTTGTTGGCAACATCTCGGAATAAGTTGGAACCTTACAACGGAATTTTTCCAAATGATGCAGCAAGCTAAGATTCAACATCAGAACCCCTTTTTCATGGAGACTTTCATCATCGCTATTTGGCAAATATGGAGAGAAAAAAAGGGCGTACCCAGTGCAGAGAGCTCCCGCTCTGTGTGGGGTCTGGGGAAGGGTGTCAGTGGCAAGCAAATATGGAAGCAAAGAAATAATTATATTTTCGATAGAGGTCACCCGTCCTTTGGGTCTTGGAAAAGCTCCTTCTATGAAGAAGCTACACTACAGGCTCATAGACTCAGTGATGATAAGTGCGCTGTCTTTCTTTCCTATATAGCTTCCCTAGATTAGCTCTTTATCCCACCTCGGGCTTCCTTCTTTGTGAAACTACTTTTGTTCAGTGTTGTCCTTTTATTTTTTTGATTAATAAAGCAAACAGTGGGGGCCTCCCCTGCTGTATTTTCTCTCAAAAAAAAATATAGATTGCACTTGTGTCCCTTGATGCTGATACCACTAGTAAATATAAACTAGTTGTTGTCTACCAAATACTAATACTGATTAATGAACAATATTGATTTTTTTGGGAAACATAACTTGTTGTTAGTACTTTCAGCAATAACTCATTTGAGAATGCATGCATGGAATTTGATGAAGAGAATCTAAAGCCTACATTCAAGATACTATGGGGAATACCAGGTTGCGTTATGTTTCCCTTTCCCTTTTTGAATCATTTAAATATTCAGATTTGCTTTGACACTCTCGGTGGTCAATGCCATGGAAAAAATTAAGCCTTAGGAAACAACTCTATGCTGATGATGTCATTTTAGTCTATCATTCTTACCTTCGTTCTTCCCTAATGAACTAATGGGACACCTCATATGCTTGTAATATTTGTGATCTCATGTCCTCAAACCTTCCTACTAGCTGAATGTCTTTATGACTGTTGTTTGCACTAACACCTGGTCTTATTTCATTATTCTTGAACTTTCTTTTGTGTCCATGCTTCGTTACACATGTAGGTCGCTCGAATGCAATCAATATTGCTGAAAGGCTGGGTTTGCCTTTGGATATAGTAGAAAGCTCCAGGCGTTTACTTGGAACAGCTGGTGCAGAGAAAAATGCTGTATGTTTTTTCGGGCACTTCTGCACTTAGAACTTGCACATGGTTAAATTGTTGTCCAAAATATCTTGTTATGATCCTAAGCTCTCGAAGTTCATCTTCTGCAGTTGATAATGGACATGGAAAGATTCAAACAAGAATATCAACAACACCTTCAGGAGGCACAATATCTTCTTATGTGAGAATGTCTTTATACATAGATTTGTGTACTCCTACAGTTCTACGTTTGAGTATGCTGTGATTCCCTTTCCACGCTACACATCCTTGCTTTTTTTTTTCTTTTTATAATGTTATGTTCAACCTATACGGCTATACCTTCTTTTGGTACACATTGTGCTGCCCCCTTCAATGGGTAGTTTTTTCTTGGCTGCATCTTTGGTCAGCTGCTGGTGGCTTGGGGGACTTTGTTGTTCTGTGGGGGAGGTCGTAATTTTATTTGTTGTGGGGTCTGCAGGGTGCTAAGTTGTATGGTTGTTTTGTATTTTTTTCCTTTCCTTACCTTCTAATGTAATTTGTGGCAAATCTCTTGCCGCTCTCTCGAAAAAAATAAAAACGCATATAACAGACTTTGAGGGATGCTTGTTTTTCAATCATTGCTTTCTATGCCTTCTAACTGAACTTTGAATCCATATCTTTTCTCATGCCTTGGTGTGTAAACTGCTTGTCTAATGTGACTTCTTTATGAGGTGGACCTTGGAACTGGCAGCCAAATGATATCTTCTATCGATTAATGTCTCAGGCAGTCCAAGGATCTTCATAACAACTTGGAACTGGCACAAAAGAACATTGTAGACCACACTTCTGCTCAGAGAAAACGAAAGGCGAGAGTAATTTCAGAGTATGCTGTTATGGCCCGTTCTATCATTCGTAAGAAGTTTCAGCAGTTCCAGGAATCTGCTATAGCTGAAAGACTGAAAGAAGAGGAGAAGGCTGTGAATGATGCCAAATCTGACAGAGTGAAGGATCCTGTGCTGGCAAATACTTCTGCCATTGGAAAGACACAGAACATAGATACCAACTTGGGCATGGCAACCAACGGTAAAGTACAGAGTACTATATATGGAACTCCCTTGTTTTTATATTACTATGAATCTCCACACATTCTGAAAACTCGTTAAACTTCCAAGGTTTCCTTCCTTTTCTTATACTTAGATGACGAAGGTAGGGTTCCAGAAGTTGGAGATTCAGTCTATGTTCCTAAGCTCAAGAACGAAGCTACTGTAGTCAAAATAGATTCGTCCAAAAATGAAGTTCATGTCCAAGCCGGTATGATGAAACTCAAACTAGAGCTGAAAGATGTTAAGGTTCAGAAGCGGAAATTATCCAGATAGAACATTTAGCAGAGATTCAGATAAGTATGCATATGCTGTTTCATCCAATTCGTACCATTTCGCTGGTCTCATTTTTCAGCAATAATAATATAATCTTTCAAGTGAAAATATAGATTTATTATCTGCATGCATTTTTAATTCTTAGCAAACTGCTTGCGGTACTCTAAAACCTTCAGCACAGATCCAGACAGATTATCACTAAAAAGGAGCTTGAGATTATCACTTGTATATGCAATACAGTTCATCACTAATTTATAAATTGTAGTAGCATGCCAATGAAATTGTTTAGCACTAGTTGGTCATTGGACCAAATTGGCCACATTGTAGAGATGTTTCTGTGCTGCACGTGAAATTATGGTCAATCATCATCTAGAGAAATCACTATCAGGCCAGTCCACTCATCTGTTAAAAGAACTTCCAGTATGGCGCATCCGCATCGATGTTGCCCAAGCAAAGAGTAGCTTCGGCGCCTGTTTGAAGCAACTTCTCTATCTTGTGTCTTCAGTTTCTCATCTGAGCTTGTGGATAATCTCAAGGAATCCCACAATAATCTGGATCATCTGGATAACATATTTTCGCTGCCGTGGTCTGGCAAGCCATGTGCGTCCTCAACGAGGAACGTGAGGTGTTGGACACTGTTGTCGGCGTTACCGCAACGCTTCGAATTTGGACCTGACCCACCACAAGGCCACACAACACATGCTGATAATGTCTTGGTCGAAAGCTACCACATTAAAAAAAAAAAAAAAATGCATTGGTACTTTTAAATGGCTTATTAAAACCATCTTGGCGAAGGACGAGAACTGCTTGTTTTTGTGCCGAAGTTATTTAACTCTATATTTCATGGATGGCCCCATGACCCTCGTACGCATACTAGTTTAATTGCACTTTATAAGGAATAGATGTATTGGAGGATGTGTGGTCAAACTTTCTAAAATATTTTGTTGCATATATCTGTGAAAATAGGCATGCAAGATAAGTGTGAGAATTCTTTTGTGTGCAAAACAAGATGAGGTACGAGAATTTCTATAGAAACTAGGATTCTTTTCATTCTAAATTATAGGTCAATACAGCTTTGTTTTCTAAGCCAAACTTTTCTAACTTCTAACATATACAACATCAAACTAGTTTTATTAGATGTACTATGAAATATGTGTTGATAGTTCATTATTTTGTACTATAGCGTAGATGTTAATATATTATTTTTTATAATTTTGGTTAAAATTAGAGAAATTTGGCATAGAATAAAGTGACGTGTAATTTAGAAGGTACGATTAAGAACATGCCATATGAAATTAGTTATACGAATGTTTTTTTTATCGGTAGTTATACGAATGTTGGTTTTGCCCGTTCCTTCCCCTCTTCCATCCCGTGGCACGAACTGGAGCGGCTACCCCGTCGGATGGTCATGCTCATACGCCTTTGCCGCGTGATTACTGATCAGGGAGGGATAACAAGAAGGCATGTGAACGAGAACGACGGGGTGCAGCGTGGTGCGTGGACTTCAGACTGCCGGACTGGAATGATTCGCGTTATTTCGAATCCAATGTGCAGCACGTGCTCTCTGCAGGTGGGCCCCACTGCCCCAGGCTCACGTCGTTTCCTCTGTTCCACTTGTTCCTTTCGCTACGGCCGCTGGGAATTTGAGGTTCAGCACTTGAGCCGCTACTCTACCTAACCTAACCCATCCGCGTGCGCTTGGTAGGCAATACCCTCTCTATGGCAGGTGGGGCAACCCTCCCACCCAACGGCGACGGCCCCACATCTCTTTTCGTTGGAGCCGTGGGTCGCAGCGACGATGATATCAGTATTATCCTCTCCACGGAATTCGCGGGGAATAATTAACGTTACTTGTTGCCGGTTGAATGAATCCGTCACGTGGTTGGTCGCAAGGGCGCGTGCACACGCGTACGGCTCCCATTCGTGGGCGGTCAAGCTGCTGAGCTTCTTTGCTGGCTTAGCCGGCTCAGAATTCGGCTCGGCTCGGCTCGGGATCTACGACTTCGCAGCTAACCACTCTGCGCATCCACTTGACCACTTTTTTTTTGTTGCGGCCTTGGAAAAAGTCTACTTAACCCCAACATTTCATACTTGGTCTACTTCACTTCCAACTATGAAACCGTCTGTTTTATTCCCTGAACTTTCTAAAACCGTCTATTTTATCCCCTGGATGGTTTTCAGCGGCGGTTTTGCTACCTTAACAGCATGTTGCTACAGTAACAGTCGTTTTGAATTTTCTTTTTTTTTATTTATTTTCGGTGAATTTTTGAAAAATCATAGTAAATCATAGAAAAATCATAAAATGAAAAATCTAATTTTGTTGGACTCCACATGAGTAGATCTACATAGTGAATATATAATACGGTATGCTTTAGTACAATTTTTTTACTGTAGCCTTAGATTAATTGGAAAATCTAATTTTGTCTGTAATTAATTGGAATAATTCATAGCTGCAGCTTCTATGGTCCAATTGTGGTGAAATTTTTATGGTACGCTAATTATTGTATGCTTGAACTATAGTAAAAATTTCGTACTCATTAGACTATGTATAACTTAGTTATAGATAAATTCTAATGAATTACAGACAAAATTGGATTTTCCAATTAATCTAAAGCTATAAAAAAAATTATACTAAAGCATACCGTATTATATATTCACTGTGTAGATCAACTCATGTGGAGTCCAATAAAATTAGATTTTTCATTTTATGATTTTTCTATGATTTACTATGATTTTTTAAAAATCCACCGAAAATAAATAATAAAAAAAGAAATTTCAAAACCACTGTTACTGTAGCAACCTGTTACGGTAGCAAAACCGCCGCTGAAAACCACCCAGGGGTTAAAATAGACGGTTTTAGAAAGTTCAGGAGATAAAACAGACGATTTCATAGTTAAAGGGTGAAGTAGACTAAGTATGAAAGGTGGGGGGTTAAGTAGACTTTTTCTTTGCGGCCTGGGAGACAGTGAGGCTGAGAGCGAAATATCCTGTATATTGCTACTGGTACTAGTAGATAGGGCTTACTAGTAGAGACAGAAGTCAAGCGAACTGAAAGCACCAGTGATTTTCGTAGAATCCCTTAGGATCACAGTTAGCAAAAGAAATTCACGTAGTATTGACTCTTTTTTTTTGAAACGCACGTAGTATTGACTTAATCATTAATCAAAGCATGGAAGCGTTCTCAGAGACCGCCTAGTTGAGCCTAATCCGGGGTTGTCACTGACAAGTCAAAAAATCAGATGAGATGAAACGGCGACGCTGGACTGGATTGTGACGCGCTTCTTCAATAACCTTTTGCTTTTTTTATTTTGTGTGGGTCAAGCTGGGGCTTTTAGGGTCTTCTAGAACGTAGCCAATGCTGCAGCTCAAGTGGAGCTGTTAGGTGAGCTAACACTCGATTGGAAGACAGATACGACCGCGTCCTTTGGTCCGTGAAACAGTAACGCTCGAGGACGCACAACATGCAGCACTAGGGCCCGTTTAGTTGCCGGCCGAATTGGCGCCAGGTGAATTATGGCGTCACTGTAGCGCACTGTAGCATTTCGTTTGTATTTGATAATAATTATCCAATCGTTGACTAATTAGGCTCAAAACGTTCGTCTCGTAAAGTACAACTAAACTGTGCAATTAATTTTTGATTTCGTTAATATTTAGTACTCCATGCATGCACCGTAAGTTTGATGTGACGGAGAATCTTCTTTTTACATAGTGCCAAATTTTGGATTTCGGTGAAACTAAACATGGCCTAGGTAAAAAGTGAAGCAGGCAAGACAAGCAGCTGCCTTCTATATTTAGTAATTGTCCTTTTTTCTTTTCTTAAAAACACACACACCGATCCAATTTTTAAATGATATCATTTTATTTTAATAAATAATTGTAGAACTAGATACTGCTATAGAGAAATTGCAAGCACAGTTGTTGACATGTCAACAAGATAGCTTTTGAATTGCCAATATCGACTTTGAAGGCTCTGTTTGGCACATGCCTCATGACTGTTTGTGAACTGTTTTTTTTTTCAAACACTTTTTTAAAATAGTTGCATAGGTGAAGCTCCCTTTTTATGCTCTCACAAAAGAATTGAGAGAGCTAAAGCTGAAAAAGTAACTTTTTCTAGCTCTCTCTCTCATTTTCCTCTCTCGGCCATACATGAAGTTGGTGGTGAAGCTGTTTTACCAAATAGTTTTTTTTAAAACAGCTTAGCTTCACTGAGAAAGCTGCTCGAATGATGAAACTGAGCTGTGCCAAACAAGACCTAACTATCCATAACATATGTCATGTAAGCCACGTCAATCCGGGTAGAAAATTTTATGTCGGATAGACCTATCAGGTTTTTTTGAAAGCTGACTAGCCTTTTCGTGCGTACACTCATGTTGTGTACCTAGCCCATATGCGAATCAGCATGTACATGAGAGAACGAGCTTATCTATTGGCAACAGGATGACCGATAGGCCTATTGGATTTTTTTTTAAAGAAAGGGGCTATTGGCTTTTTGAGTTGACGATGAGCGAAGATATTTTTCACACCGGCATAGTTAAGTATCTCTGTTTTATTTTTTTTTATACTTGTATAGTAACGTAGTTAGTATTGCTTGGTAAGATTGTTAGGAAAGACAATGTAGTATATTTGGAAAACTGGACTTGTAGTGTTAGTTAGGAAAATAGATTTTGCTTACTATCGGTACACGAGGCTGTCTAGCCACCGCGGATCGAGTTTTTATTGGTATAATTAGCCATGTAAAAATTATCTAATTTAGTAGAAACTTATTCAAAAGACAGTATTATAAAGATAGTTATGAAATAGATATGAAATTTATCATAACTAAATATATAGGGTTAATGACAATATATATGAAATTTAGCATAATTAAATATTTAGATTGTTAGAAAAAAGATCCATAATAATTGTTAATAAAAATTGAAAAATAGGGACCTATCGGCAACAAGAATGTTGACAGATGTTAATCGATAACAAGAATGTTGGCATGTTTATCCACATCAGTAACTCCAACAGGCCTTTTAGCAAAATAAAAAATTTGCCAACTGATAAGCTGGTACCCCATTAGCCTTGTCGGTATTCTATGCAATGACTAGGATTAGGAATTTATGAGTAAAAAAAGTTTCTCCTAATTCACTCCACACACATAACCATTTTCTATGTTTGAGTTTAGTCTAAAAACTAATAAAGAATACTTTTATTCATAAATTACTTATCTGGGAGAATCACTATTAGCCATAGAGAATCAGGAGAAGCTAGAGGCCCTACATGTGTATATACTTCATTATGTACCTACTACTACTACGGGCCTGTTTGGCACAGCTCACAACAGCTTCGTGAGCTGTTGTGAGCTATTTTTTGTCAAACACTTATTTCTAAAACAGCTTCATGGGTGAAGTTATTTTTCTTCTCCTCTCACAGATAGATGAGTTGGGATAAAGCTAAAAAAATAGCTTATTGGAGCTTCACCCACACGTGGGCCCACTAGGGACAAAATACTGTTGTTGCCCGACCAGAGAGAGACAGAGGAGAGAGAGAACCCTCCGGGGGAGGGAGGTGCCGCCGCCGCCGAGTACGAGTGGTCTGCGTGAGAACTGCCACGGGCGCGCGGCCATGGCATGGCAGACAACGCTGTCGAGCGTGGCTCGCTCGGAGTCAGTCCCACCGAGTGCAGGCCATGTGAAGCAGCATGCCGGCAACATGGCTCACCGGGAACGGTGGTCAAGCACGAGCCGCCAGCAGGGGCACCGTCGTGTGGGGGGGGGCACGGCCCGCCGGGAGGGATGCCGCCGTGGAGGTCGCGGCCCACCAAGAGGGGCGCTGGCGCGGGGCGCGGCGTTGCATCGGAAGATTCGTAGGAAGACGATGAGTGAGAAAATAAAAAAAAAAAAAAATGAGCTAAGAGAATTATAGTAATTTTATTCCTATGTTCTACTAGGTGAAGCTGTTTTGTCAAATACTCTTTTCAAAACAGCTTCGCTTCACTTAGAGAGTTGCTCATGAAGCCAAAATGTACTCTAGTTGATTGCTCGTGGCTTGTGTGATCCTCATCTTGTATTGGTTGTGCAGCACCCTATTGAGGTTTTGGCGTGTGATGCCAATTAGCGCGTGATCTTCAAGTGAGTGAATCGCTACAATGAGGACTAGCTTGCCGGCAAGCAAGTGAACCTTGATAAAAAAATCATTGTGTCATCATTTGATTCTGAGGTGATTGGTCTTCATTGGCATTCATTCTTTGTGATTGATGGCTTCATTGGTGATTGGCTTATTTCTCTACACGACGGTATAACACTTCATTCTTCCCATGTATTTACCTTTCTTAGTGTAACTTGGTCCTTTAGTGTAACTAGTTTTGAGGGCAAGCAAGTATCGATCTAGTTTGGTTAGTGAGGCTCTTTAGTTAGTCTTTGAGAGCTTACCAACTTAGAGTAGTGACTTAGACTTGTATGCCTAGAGACAATATCAACTAGAATTGTGGTAGGTGGCTTGCATTTTTAGTAGGCTATTGCAACATTTGTTTCGTCTTATATTTGTCTAACCGGTTTGCTAAGTGTTGTTGTAGAAATTTTTAATAGGCTATTCACCCCCTCTAACAATTAGGATCTTTCAACTATTGTACTGATTCTAACAAATGGGTCCCTCTTGCAACAGTCGCGTCAACAAAGTCCATTTATCATGTGATTGCCACGAAATGACGGAACAACCTGCTCGTAGCTTTGGCTTCATAAACTTCCAGAGACACCAAGGGCGAGGACATGGGTAAGGTCAGTCTCAATAGAGAGTTTCATAGCGTTATTTCTAAGATTGCCACGCCATGTAGAATGAGAGAAAATATGGATGAAACACCCACTTTTAATGGAGAGTTTCATTCTATAGTTTCATAGACATTTAATTTTTTTTGACTCACAGAGAGTTGGTATTCGTGCTAAGATAGTTTTATCCCCATAAAACTCACTTCTTCTCTTTTATTAAAAATCTTGCCATATTATAAAAACGCTTACGTGACAGATCATTAAATACAAATGAAACTGCGTTGAAACTCTCACCGAGACTGACCTATACTACCGGAGGCAGGGCCCACTGATCGAGCCGTGAGCCGACCCAATCTGAGCCGCCGCTGGTGCAGGGAGGCAGGGACACTGCGCGTGCACTTGCGACTGAGCTTCGTCCTTCGTGTCGACATCTCAAGCCGCTCGGCCCATGTGTGGGCATTTCGGTCATTTGGCCGAGGCCACAGATCCTATAAATCAGGCCCGTTCCTCCTCGCCGGCCGTTGCTGCTGGCTGCGTGGGTCGCGTTTCACGGGCGTAGAGAGAGAAAGCGAAGAGGGCGAGAGAGAGAAGGGGGCCAAGCCCTACGCGGCGTCTCCTGCTGTTTCTTCCCACCCCTTTGGCCCTTTCCTGCCTCGGTTTGCACCTTCAAACCTTGCTGGTAAGTTCCGTAGCTTTTACTCGACAGAGGCTTTTTGCTCGCGAATATTTTGGTTCCGAGCAACGAAGATGCATGCTCCGTCTTGATTTTGGTTTAGCTGTTGTTAGTCTGAATCGTTCGGTTGCGTTTGTCGTGGATTTGGACGCCGAGACGCCGCTATAGGAGGAATTATTTTGATTTTATTGCGGATGATGGGGGTGGTTGTCGGTTGGAGGGTTTTACCGTTCAGATCTAGTAAAATTGCAGTGGTGGAAGGGAGGAGAGTAGTGGGGCAGTTAGGTTTCTGGGTCCAAGTTTGTTTATTTTTGGTGGGGATGGTTTCTGGTTCACCTACATCGTTGAAAGGGATGCGTGCTGACTTGTCAAGGTCCTGTTGTTTTTGTTTGTATCTGCGAGATTCTATGTATCTACTTGGATAATTTTAAAATCGTTCAAGGTTCAATGCCAGCTGTACTATCCGGAGCTCAGATTCGGGTTTGGTACCATGAACTTTTACAGATTTGGCCAAACCGCATGAATTTCAGTGGATTATGTCATATTATAGTGTCAGGCGCCTGAGTGAACTTTTACAGGTTTATGACGTGGAGAATTGGGTAAAGTTGGCGCGAAATCATTGTGCTATAATTTATTTGTAATTATGCTAGATTACAGCACTGTTGGTTAATCTGCCTCTTATCATAATACAATTGCCAAAGCACAGTGGTCTACCTTTCTTCCACATATTACTCAGATGAGTTGGCTCAGCAGTAGCATAAAGAAATAGCACATTGTGGTCATTTCAATAGCTCCCAAACAGAACTCTGAAGCAAATTTTTGTTTTGGGTTGCAGAAAGTTCTGACCTCAGAAACTGAAAGGGGCCTGTGAAGAGTTTTCTTGCGGCAGTGCAATGGAGGTATTTGGCAAATCTGTGATTGCTGAGCCCAGCAATGTGATTTTCTTGTCCGCAATCCTTAACACAGAAGGGTCAAACCCTAGTCACAAGTGTGACAAGAGGTGCCAGAACGAGCACATTTTCGGGAACATGTACCGTTGCAAACTGACTGGAACCACTCACATCTGCGACAAAAACTGTAACCAGAGGATCCTCTATGACAACCATAACTCGCTCTGCCGAGTGAGTGGGCAGTTTTTTCCGCTCTCTCCATTGGAGCAGCAAGCAGTGAGGGGTATCCGCAGGAAGCATGAAGTGGACAGCAATGAAGGCTGTTCCTTTAAGCGCAGGCGTGGTGCACAGCTGCATCCTTCCCCCTTTGAGAGGTCCTACTCTGCTGTGTCTCCAATCCCGAGCCAGGTTGGAGATGGCATGGACCTGAGCTAGAGTTAATGAGACTTCCTTTTCTTCGTCCAGCCACCTAATTCTGTTCTGTCTACCCCTTTTCCCTTCGATTACAGGATGGAACTATAAGAGCTTCCTTCTTTGTAGACTTATATGAAGGGATATGAGACTCCTTAGATGCACCGAATAAATGTCTATGTAGTATCTATTCTGTTTCATGGGACCTTGTTGTAACTCGTGAACTTTGATTGAGCGCCTATTCTGATTTAGTGCTACTTTCAGACAATCATTCGTTGCTTCTCTTTTTTTTCACACTTCCGATTTAGTTATTTTGTGTGTTTTACTTTATGTTCAACTAATTTTCCTTCTAATTTTGATTCGTCGATGCTATTTAATATAATTGAGCGGTGTACATTTGTCCGTCAATGTAAATATGTGAAGGATTCTTTGGTCCTGTAATCCAGGCATAGGGAACTGACTTGGCTTTGCTGACTGAAGTTTTTGTACAGCTGTTACTAGTGTTTTGCTTGACAAGTTCCTAATCAAGCTTGAATCATTTACGGTTTGTTCTCATATAGTTCAATTCTATCTGTTGCTTAACTCTTTTTTACAGGTTATGTTTCTAACCTTAATGTTTTCCTCATGCTCTTTTTTGTCTTGTTTTTCCCCTTAACATTTGTTGTATGCAGGACCATTCCAGGTTCTAATCGTTTTTGGGAAATGTTTTGTTCTTTTTATATAACTATATTGCTAACTTAATTTCACTTGTTAATTAATTTGCTTTGTTTTGTTTTTGCAGGCGAACATCTCTGATTCTATTTTCATTGTCGGGTGGCAAGAAACTAAAGGCATCTCTTCTCATTCCTCGGCTCCTCGCATACTGTTTAGCTGCAGCCGAGCAGCATGCTTTCCAGGTAACTGATTAGCCATATGTAGCAGTGTCAGAACATGATTACATATTACATCTTTGCACTAGGCTCAACTGTTATTGATACATGAACCTCTTCCTCTTGTATGCATTTAATTATGAGCATGTTGCATATTAAGTGAAATTAAAAGAGCATGTTGCATACTAGATGATTACAGAAAACCTGACAGCCATCGATCACATTTTCAGGTCTATGTCAGCATGTCGGGAACTTGGTTTCTTTTGCTGTCATGCCACAACATCTGTTACTGGAAATAATAAGCCATAAATCAAGGCAGTCTCTTTGCTCATGTAAAACAAATGACGTTCTTGCTCTTCAGACTGAGTGAGGAGAGGTAGTTCTTTGTTCATTCTGTTCTAGTATGCCAACATAAAGCATTTTTGCACCTTGAGATTTTCTGCAAAGTCTAGTTTATGGTTGTTACATCCAGGATGATATGTGCATTTCTTTTCCACTTAACTGGTGATGTTTGTCCTCTGCTTGACAATTATATTTGTTCTATATGTCATGCAGAACATAAATTGGTGGAAGAGAAGTTTGACGCTACCACTTTGCGAGAAGGACCGAGCCAGACACAATAACATCAAACTGAGATACCGCAGTTTACCAACTTTTTCGATATGGCAGATTGAAGAGCAGCAAGAGCAGCTTCCATTAAGCTGCAGTTTGAACAGCTTCCATCTGCAGTTTGAAGAAATCTTTTTAAGGTCTTGGACTAAAGGCGAATCCTTACAGCAATCTTGCCTTGCTGGATACCTTGTAATGATTGTAGTACTTGACAACTGTGACCAAAAGTAGTGGATGCTTTTCTTTCGCATGAAGTTTTGTTGGTACCTACCTCGTCTGTCTGTAAGAAAAAATGTTATGCATCCTGGTCCGTTTCTGCTATGCATCCTGAGAAAATGGTCAGTAACTCGGTATAAAGGGTTTTTGAATTTGTAAGGTTGTCATATATTATATCTAGATGCATAGTAAAATAGATATACAAAAAAAAAAAAAAGAGAGTCAAAGTTACTTATAATTTGAAACAGAGGGGATGAAAGTGTTACAGCAGATCTCTTATCTTCTATACCTATAATTTTCAAGAGCTCTTAATCCTCTCTCCAATCTAAAAAAGTATAGGACATGTTTTAGTTAATACTCCCTTTGTCCCTGAAAATATTCACTCACCTTCTAGAAAGTCAACAATTTTTAACTTTGACCAAATATATTAAACAAAATATTAATATTTATGGTACATAATTTCTATCATTAGGTAGATTATTGAATATACTTTCATAATAAACTTATTTGGAGATATAAATGTTGCACGTATCTTCTACAAATCTAGTCAAAGTTGAGAAAATTTAACTTGCACGATTTCCTTAGCGACTCTATTTTAGGGACGGGGGAGTATGCTATAGCAGTGCTCTCTAATATTTTAAATTTCTAAATTTTCTAAATTGATTTTAGGATATTCTCCTAAATAAATAATTTATAGGAGATGTAATACGAGAGATATGGTGAAGATTGCTCCTAATGGCAAACGTGTAAGACGAAGGTTGTTCAGAGAAACGAAGGCTTTGGCAAGGGATTATCCCCCATCTGTGTGGTTGTGGACATGTGGTGTAACCTCCAAAAGGCCCAAATTGCCATGGGCTATCGGCCTGGTCCATTTTAGCCTAGACTAGAAGCTGTTCACGATCACTCTGCGGGCCGGCGGCGGCACTGCCCTGCAGCAGTCCAGCTTTCCGCCCATGCCCGCACCTGCACACTCGCGTCTGTCTGGGCGGCACGATCGCGCGGATCTTTTTTCAAAAAAGAAATTTAGCAAAATTTGAGTTTATGTTATACTAGCTATTTTTTATAGAGTACTTTCTCTGTCTCAAATAATAAATTATTTTGTTTTTTATACAAAACTTTTGCTATTTATCTACATATAGCGTATATTTAGCTATGAAATAATTGAACATCTCTAAAAATCTTTCTTAAGCTCACTCTCTAAGTTCTCATTTGGAGAGTTATTTATTTTTTAAAAATGTTCTTTATATCTTTTCATCCAATAGTTTTTTTATGTTATGCGCACTCTCAAAAGCCATTCCTGCTTTTCAACTTTAGCTATCAAGAAACTCTAAATAAAAAATGTTAATATTTGGAGATCTAATTGAAGAATTATAGGAATAAAATTTGGAGATCTAATTGAAGAATTATAGGAATAAATTTTTTTCACTAAAAGCATTGGTATTAATACGGAAGGGATATAATTCTAAATAGCAAAATACAGTATTTTTCTTGAAACTGACATCGGGATTGCAGGCACTCAGAATTGGGTGTGTGACACGGCGCACGGCCCATGTACGCGCTGGCCGCTCGGTGCACGGCGCACCACGCGCTCTCAGTGAAGCGAACGCAGATGAAGGATGTCAGGAAGGCGAGGGGCAAAGGGCAATCCGCGGCTGTGCCCGTGCCGCGCTTCCTAGAATCCTACTGTAGTTCAATCCACTCGCACGGAGGAGCAACGCGGAGCAATGGCGCTCGCCGCCCCTTCTTCCCTCCGCCGCCTCCCGACCACACCACCGCATGTGCCGTCTCCGTCCTGTGCCTCCCGCCTCCGCTCGCGCCCTCTGCGGGAGCCCCGTCTCTGCCAGAGACTCGTCGCCGCCGCCGCGGCGGCGGCTCCACTCGCTTCCTCGCCCACCACCGTACGTACTCCACGAGGTCCTCCCCTCCTTACGAGAACCCGACACCTTCTGACGCTATGGTCTCGCAGGCGGACACGGAGCGGAGGAAGCACGAACTGCTGCGCGCGGTTCAGGAAACGCGGCGCGGATTCGCGGCGGGGCCCGACCAACGCGCTGCCATCGAGGAGGCCGTCGTACGTAGGAGGCCTAATCGGCCGCTCTCTCTCTAACAATTTGCACTCACGCAACGTGGCGGCATTTGTGACGCTGTGCTGGGTTTGATTGATTTTGTGTGCCATGTGCAGGTGGCCGTGGAGGAGCGCGGTGCCGGGGAGGGGACGCCGCTAGATCTCTCGGCGCTCGATGGCACCTGGAGGCTGTGTTACACATCGGCGTCAGACGTGCTTGTGCTGTTCGAGGCGGCCGAGAGGCTTCCACCCCTGCAGGTTAAACTAACAACGTGTGTTCAGCGATCTGTCCTAATTCGTCGTTGCAATTGGATGCCTACTTAAAGCCACCACCTAGCAATCAATTACAGATGCCAGCACATTTGAGATCGACTGAAAATGTCAGTAAATTGCCAACCTCCACGTTTTTAAATGTTCGATACTGAGAATCATTGCTAAAAAGTGCAATACACTTTTGTTATGTTTGTCGTCTTTCGTTAGGTTTAGCGCTTGAGGCATTAGAGATGATGAGTTTAAGAGTTTAACTTCTCGTACATCAACAAGATGCTTTATCTGTGTAGTGGATAGTTCATTTTCCTCTCACTGTTTATCACTTGGGCAATCGTATTTGAGAAATTTAGGGAGAAGAGTTGGAGCCTTGTGACCAGGGTGGTTTTTGTGGATATATGCAGGTGGGGCAAATATACCAGAAATTCGAGTGCAAAGATCGATCAGATGGTGGAATTGTGAGGAACGTTGTAAGGTGGAGCATCGAGAACTTGCTGGAGGTAACCATTCTATGGCCGTTGTACCTCTGGGGGTGTTCCGTGTTCAGTTTCCCGATGCCTGAAGACTCGCTCATTTCTTTCCTTCCATATCTCTCATATTAATTAAAAGGGTGAAGCTCCTGATCGCTTCTCGCGGGATGTCAACCGTGTTGGTAATCTTGCTCCACCAATCGAGCGCCGAATCGCTCGCTTGTCATTGGTTTGGTTGGGCCGTCCAGGAGGCTGCAAGGCACCAGACCCTTTTGGTGTACCTGCATTCAGTCACAAGATGATGTGCGGTTTTATTTAGATGTCTGCCTGCAGATAGGGCACATTGACTGTGCGACCGGCTGTGCTGCGCCATCCAAATGCAATTTTGGATAATGAGCCAAGCATAGAATTTGCACTTGGGTGGAGCCCAGGTTTGCTAGATTGAGCAGATTTCCGGCGCTTTGGTGCAGCCAATGAATTGTGCTGCGATGCCACTGAGTATTCCCCAGTTGCCGATAGCTGGCATTCAGTTGATCTCAAATATTAGAGCTGCTTGAGTTGCAACTACTGTATTTTTCTGCAGTATGAATATTATTCACTTTGCACAGACCACATCCAAAAGAGTGCTTCCCTTTTAACTGTGCTTTTATATTGAGCTGAACAACTTGACATGCTTGATTATTCCAGCTACACCTTGAACACTTGCATTTAATTAAAAACAGAAATAGTGACCTTCATATACATGGAGTATCTTCTCTATCTTGACAGCACAGCTGCTGCTGTACTTAAATGCATGGACCTTGGAATATATAAAGAGTGTGACAGTTGGAGGTGTTCTGTTTGCTCCATATGATCATAAAATGCTCACCGGTTTCATATTTTCATTGATAAGGTCATTTTTTCTTTCAGAATCTGGTTAGTTTTCATGTTTTAAAGTACATCATAATTGTATTTCCTACATAGAAGAAATTAACTTCTTACAAAACATGTTTTGCATCTTCTAAGCTTAGCTTCCTATTCTTTGCATGCTATGATGTACCATATTTATTTTTCAGCCTTTTTAGCCCTCATGTTTTCAGTTCTTTCATGTTTGATTCTTTTAGCAATCTCTATAGGAGCAAGAAGGTGCAACACTGATGGTCTCTGCGAAGTTTGTTGTCCTGTCTAAACGCAATATCTTTCTTCAATTTGAGGAGGTAATTCCTTTTCAAGAATAGCTAAATATGATCATTTGATAAAATGCAAAGCGAAGAGTTGCTAATTTCATGATGAAACATTCAATTTCCATTGTTAGAAGAACAGTATGAGAAATGATGTATTTGCTTGTTATATGGGACTCTTGTATCAATGATTAAGCTACATTATAAGTTAGCATTCTCCATGACCATGATTCAATTCACATGCAAGATGATGCTATATAACCAGATTTTTTTTCCTGGGACTGACTTGATTCATACAAGTGCAACAACAACAACAACAACAACAACAACAAAAAGCCTTTAAGTCCCAAACAAGTTGGGGTAGGCTAGAGTTGAAACCCAGCAGAAGCAATCAAGGTTCAGGCACGTGAATAGCTGTCTTCCAAGCACTCCTATCTAAGGCTAAGTCTTTGGGTATATTCCATCCTTTCAAGTCTCCTTTTATTGCCTCTACCCAAGTCAACTTCGGTCTTCCTCTGCCTCTCTTCACGTTACTATCCTGGCTTAGGATTCCACTACGCACCGGTGCCTCTGGAGGTCTCCGTTGGACATGCCCAAACCATCTCAACCGGTGTTGGACAAGCTTTTCTTCAATTGTTCTTCCCCTAATCTATCACGTATATCATCGTTCCGAACTCGATCCCTTCTTGTATGACCGCAAATCCAACGCAACATACGCATTTCCGCGACACTTAACTCGCTGAACATATGTCGCCTTTTCAGAGGCCAACATTCTCGCACCATACAACATAGCAGTGTCTAATCGCCGTCCTATAAAACTTGCCTTTTAGCTTCTGTGGTACCCTTTTGTCACATAGGACACCAGATGCTTGCCGCCACTTCATCCACCCGGCTTTGATTCTATGGCTAACATCTTCATCAATATCTCCGTCTCTCTGTAGCATTGATCCTAAATATCGAAAGGTATCCTTCCTAGGCACTACTTGACCTTCCAAACTAATATCTTCCTCCTCCCGCGTAGTAGTGCCGAAGTCACATCTCATATACTCAGTTTTAGTTCTACTGAGTCTAAAACCTTTGGACTCTAAAGTCTCCCGCCATAACTCCAGTTTCTGATTCACTCCTATCCGGCTTTCATCAACTAGTACTACATCGTCCGCGAAAAGCATACACCAAGGGATGTCCCCTTGTATGTCCCTTGTGACCTCATCCATCACTAAGGCAAACAAATAAGGGCTCAAAGCTGACCCTTGATGTAGTCCTATCCTAATCGGAAAGTCATTCGTGTCTTCATCACTTGTTCGAACTCTAGTCACAACATTGTTGTACATGTCCTTAATGAGCCCGACGTACTTCGTTGGGACTTTATGTTTGTCCAAAGCCCACCACATAACATTCCTTGGTATTTTATCATAGGCCTTCTCCAAGTCAATAAAAACCATGTGTAGATCCTTCTTCTTCTCCCTATACCGCTCCATAACTTGTCTTATTAAGAAAATGACCTTCATGGTTGACCTTCCGAGCATGAAACCAAATTGGTTCATAGAGACCCGCGTTATTGCTCTCAAGCGATGCTCGATAACTCTCTCCCATAGCTTCATAGTATGGCTCATCAACTTAATTCCTCGGTAATTAGTGCAACTTTGAATATCCCCTTTATTCTTGTAGATCGGTACCAATATACTTCTCCACTCGTCAGGCATCTTTTTCGATCGAAAAATATGGTTGAACAGCTTGGTTAGCCATACTATAGCTATGTCCCCGAGGCATCTCCACACCTCGATTGGGATACCATCCGGTCCCATCGCCTTACCTCCTTTCATCCTTTTCAACGCCGCTCTAACCTCAGATTCTTGGATTCTCCGCACAAAGCGCCTATTGGTGTCATCAAAAGAGTCATCCAACTGAAAGGTTGTGCCCATATTCTCACCATTGAACAATTTGTCAAAATACTCTTGCCATCGATGTCGGATCTCATCCTCCTTCACCAAGAGATGCTCCCTTTCATCCTTAATGCACTTAACTTGGTTGAAGTCCCTTGTCTTTCTCTCACGAACCCTAGCCATCCTATAAATGTCCTTCTCTCCTTCCTTCGTACTCAAATGTTGGTAAAGATTCTCGTACGCTCTACCATTTGCCACACTTACAGCTCGCTTTGCAGTCTTCTTTGCCACCTTATACTTCTCTATGTTGTCCACACTCCTATCATGCTACAAGCGTCTATAGCATTCTTTCTTCTCCTTAATATCCCTTTGGACTTCCTCGTTCCACCACCAAGTATCTTTAGCCTCGCCTCCACTTCCTTTGGTTACTCCACACACCTCTGAGGCCACCTTCCGAATGTTGGTTGCCATCTTCTCCCACATGTTGTTTATGTCCTCTTCTTCCTTCCAAGAGCTCTCTTTGATAACCCTTTCCTTGAATACCTCTGACGTCTCGCCTTTCAGTTTCCACCACTTTGTTCTTTCAATCTTAGCTTGTTTATCCCTACGGGCACACACCTGAAAACGAAAGTCTGCCACCAAAAGCTTATGTTGAGAAACAACACACTCCCCTGGTATCACCTTGCAATCCAAGCATGCTCGTTTGTCCGTTCTTCTCGCGAGGACAAAGTCAATCTGGCTAAAGTGTTGTCCGCTACTGAAGGTCACTAGATGAGATTCTCTCTTTCTAAAGAAAGTGTTGGCTATCATCAGGTCAAAAGCTACCGCAAAGTCCAGAACTTCCTCCCCCTCCTGATTCCTACTACCATACCCAAAACCTCCATGAACTGCCTCGAAACCTACGCTTGTAGTACCTACATGCCCATTAAGATCTCCTCCTATAAAAAGCATCTCACTACTAGGTATATCTCTAACCAGGCCATCTAAGTCTTCCCAGAACTGTCTCTTAGCACTCTCGTCGAGGCCTACTTGGGGGGCATACGCACTAATTACGTTCAAGACCATATCACCAACGACAAGCTTGACTAAGATAATCCTATCTCCTTGCCTTCTCACTCCCACCACACTATTCTTGAGGCTCTTATCAATCAAAACTCCTACTCCATTTCTATTCGCGACTGTCCCTGTGTACCAAAGCTTGAAACCTGTATTGTCCACCTCCTTCGCTTTCTGACCCTTCCATTTAGTCTCTTGAACGCATAATATATTTACACGCCTCCTACTCGCGGTATCAACTAATTCTCTTAACTTACCTGTAAGTGACCCTACATTCCAACTACCTAAACGGATCCTAGTTGGTTCGACTAGCTTCCTTACCCTTCGCACCCGTCGACTCAAATGCGAAGACCCTTGCTCATTTTTCACTACACCCGGGCGCCGATGTAGCGCGCCACTAAGGAAGCGACGACCCGATCCTTGATCACTTAACACCATGCCCAGATCACGACACGGCGCGTCGCAGGGGTGACGACCCGGCCCTTGCCCATTTAACACCATACCCGGGTTCCGATATGGCGCGTCGCTAAGAGGGTTACGCCCCAACGATTTTCTTTCGGGTTTCATCTCCATTAAAGTGGCTAAATTTTTACATTGGCTCGCCACGCCTAACACAACCCTCCTCCTTTACCAGGGCTTGGGACCTGCTATGCTGGGACACCAAAGGCGCCCCACCATAGGCGGAGTTTGATTCATACAAGTGCAATATTGGAAATTTCTTCCCTTTTTTTGGTTATACCATCCACTGTCTTAACCTAAACCCTTTAGAGCGTTCAGCTTGTTCTTGCATTATCATTTGATTTTTCACTAGTTTTCTTTGGCCATTAAGCTTTTCAGGGGTTTTGAGCCATGGCTGGTCTTAGATGTGGCTATTGTTTTCTCTTCTGTACTGTAATGCTTAAACATTTGACACTTGACTTCTGACCCAAACTCATTGTTTCAACTCTTCAGCCTTCTTGAACAACAGCGATCTTGACCTCTTTTGTTCAAGAAAAACAGTGTCTATCTTCCTTTCTTTTGTGACCTTAGGGTTTGAGTGTTAGTTGCTAGAACTTATAATCCATTGTATAACAGGTCGCTGTTGAAAATATCAAGATTAGCGAGCAACTGCAGGCACTAATAGCTCCTGCTATACTTCCTCGGTCATTCTTGAGCCTTCAGGTATATGCCAGCCTGCCAGGTTATATCAAATAATTGATTGACTTGCATATTATCCTTGATTTCATAAAATCTTTTTTTTTCTTTCTTGGTCATTGACAAATATGTGCATTGGTGTACATTTCATGTGTCCCATAATAATGGTCTGAATTCTGTTAGTTTCAACTTTCAAGAGCTGCTAGTTCCTGTAGCACGCCACATGTTATCTCTTTTGTTGTCTACTGCCAAAAAGGAGATGTAAAGTAAAAAATATTATTATTTACGATTAACATTTGCAATTTCACCATGTTTGTTGTATTTCTTTAATCTTTATCATCTAACATAGGACAAGTGTTTCAGATTCCAATGTAGTGAACTTTTTGTGCAGATATTGCAGTTCCTTAAAACCTTTCGAGCTCAAGTTCCTGTCAGTGGTCCTGAAAGGTAATTTTCCACACTGCTTAATTTTCCTCATTTCGTGTCCCCCGTCTTTTGTATTTACCAAACTGAATTAAATGTCAGACGATCACCTGGAGGATTATATTATCTTTCTTACCTTGACCGTGATATGCTCCTGGGTCGTTCAGTTGGTGGTGGGGGAGTATTTGTTTTCACAAAGGCACAACCTCTTACATAAAGGTTTTCTGATAACCAAGAGCATATCATCTGATGGCATGGCAGCTGTCCTCGAGCTTGCCAACTTACAAGGGGTATATATACCTGGCAATCTACAGTTTTTTTTTTGACGTGCAAATATGTGATAATCACCTCACTCTAGTTTTTTAAGACATTGACATGATCTACTTTGAGTTTTAAGAGATTACATGCGGCATGCTTTCTTTTACACTCCAGTTGTGGTGAAATATGTAGCTGGCTAGTGGTTGTGGATATATAAAGCTTCCTGGATAGTTCTATTTCATTTTACTGTTGTACGAATACTGGAACTGTACCTACTTATTTCTAATTTTCTATAATTAGTAATTCAACATTACGATCAGCAAAACTAATGTGCGGATGTGCTCTAGTTTTCTATTCTATGATGACATTGACCATTTTTGTGGTCTCAGATGTGATTTCACCTTAGTTTCCTACTGTTTTTACTTTATTATTACCGAATAATCTAGTTGTATTTTCCAAAAGTTCAGTCTTTATTATCTCAAATGCATGAATGCTAAGGTATCAAATAAAATGGGACTATTGATCTACTTAATACTGGAATTGATGCGTGGGTGGGTTTGGTAATAAATGCTGCCATGTAGCATAACATGGACACTGCCACATTTGGATATTTTTTTTTCAAGAAAAAAAAAAAGAGTAGCTGTAGGTTTGTGGAGGTGGAGCTTGCCAGTTCCTAGAAGTAAGAGGATTTGGAGAACTAAGGGCTTGCATTGCATATGTTGAGGAACCATCTTCGAACGTCAACATTGAAACATAAAATTTGACAGTTTAATGGGACATATAGTTAATTTGTTATCTAACAACAATGATGGCAACAAAACCTTCAGTCTGAAGAAAGTAGAGGTACACTAGAGATGAAGCCCAACAAGAGCCAGACAAATTAAAGACAAAGAAAGAAAAAGATTGAATGCAATACATGCACTATAATTTAATCTGGTTCCCCGGTTTAGTTGATGCAGAGCACTACTGCCTCTGTTTGTGACCACAATTAGACATTGGTTTTCCTTTTTTCTCCCCCATGTTGTCTCGAGAGACCCTTGTTTACATCAAGGTTACATCCTTACATGGAGTCATGGATCATAACACACAACAGTTGTTAGGCAGGCAGCAGGCTGAAAAGTAGGATATCTTGTTTCCTTGTTTGATTTATGACTGAAAATTGCCATAACTATAACTCAGATATGGCACACAACTAAGTTTGGGACTGGGAATTGGACATTGCTACTTCGCCTCAGTTGACTTATGCTGCACTGTTGTGGCACGCCACGCTTTGGGCTTTTACATTCTACGTATATAATAAAATGCTGCTCCTACTTCAGAAGTTCAGAGTTCAGGGTCTCTGTACGTAACAGGTTTGCCATTAAGACTAGCTGAACTGCTGAAGTATAATTGATTTTTTTTTTTTTTTGGATTGATAGCACATCACATCTCCAGGAAAAACCATAGGTCAAAATTTTGTTTTATTGTGCCAATTATTTTTTAGGAGTATATTCTTTCCCCAATGCTAGGATATTCCCTCGACTGCGACGTGCTCTGGCAATCTCATATATACATGATATAGTGCTTTACTAGTGAGGTGCATGTGGCAAACCACACACCACATGGTTTTGGTCATGGTGGGTCCTCAGATTTGGTGTGTATGCTTTCGATCTCCTAGACCCCACAAAGAATTTGGATCCGTTGAATCCTTTATTACTCTGTTGAACATATTTGAGTGGTGACCTATAGATGGACTGGGTTCACTGTCGTCACAGGAGACAAATAAAATACATCTATATCTGTTAGTTGATAGTAAATCATGGTGTCAAATGACCTTTTATCATTCTTATCCTTTAAGATTCATGTGTTACAATTCCTACGTTCCAAACACCTCTTTATGCATATTTCCTATATTTTTCGAATCCTCTGTTTTTTCCATTATATATTCCTATTCTTTTCCTGTGTTTTCTCCAAAGTTCAGCTAGGCGCTGGGCGGAATCTAGGCGCTGACCTTCAGCCTAACGCCTAGGCGGGATTAATCGCGCCTAGGCGTTCCTAGGCGTTTTCCAATCCATGCTTAAATTTATTAATACATACTTAAGTACTTAAAAGAAAAGAAAAAATAGAAGACCAATGGTCATGGAACAGGGAGAAAAGAGAAGAAAGGCCCATAAAAACGACCCAACCAACCTTATCCACCGTTAAAAACAGCCCAGCGCACCTTATCCACGCCTCCTCCCACACCGCCGCCGCCCGCGCCTGCGCCCGCGGCCGCTCGCAGTTCCTCCTCCCCCACCGACGACCTCCGCCAGGCACTCCTCCACCACCACCGCCGCCGCCGCCTAGGGGTCCGCCTACCCCCATAGGCGAGGCGGACACCCTCCGACTAGAGCCTAATCGCGCCTAGTCGCGCCTAAGCGCCTAGCGGAACTATGATTTTCCCCCATTCCTCTATTTCTCTTCCTCCGTTCCAAACAGGCCTCAACCTTTATCTTTCTTAGTTTATGTAAATGCAGAAGTGCTATTCAAGATGTACCGATCAATTTTGATTTTTCTAGAGAACAGAGACAGGAGCCTTGCTCTTTCCTGGCAATACAAGAAGTAAAATCATATCTATGCTGAATGACAAGAAAGTGGTTACTGGGGTTTCTAATACATCACATACAATTAATTTCTACGCCTTTGATGAAAATTTGACACACACCGCAACTCTTTGCTCTTTTCTTTTTCAAAATTACCAAGTACAAACGTTGTTCTGGTAATGCTTAGTGTTTGAACATTGAAATATTTTTTTAGGACTAAATGTCAAGTTGGCAACTAAATCAATAGATGCCGTTTATAAACTGCCATATTGTTTTTCGAGATATTATTTTCTAATTCAATTTATAACATTCTTTCGTCTACTATATCCATTCTCCATTATCTTATTCAATAGGCATCTCACTCCTTTGGCTTGGTGTGATTCACTTTTCCTTTTATACATCCATCATATTTTATTCTGGTATCTCATATTTTTCTGGGATGTTGGTACTTTAGTACCATGCATATGATGGGAGTGATTTATATGAACTAGATATTTTATTGCTATTGTCCAGTAACATATGCTACTTGCTGTTTAAATTCAAAAATTGAAGTTTTAAATTTAAAAGATTACTCTCTCCGTCCTAAAATAATTGCATGTCTCACTTATCAAGGAGTTATACCTTTTTAAGTTTGACTAAATATATACACAAAAATATTAATATTTATGATGTGTAATATGCATCATTACATTGATCGTGGACTGTACTTTTATGATAATTTATTTAGAGATATAAATATTGATACTATTTTTATATAACTAGTCAATTTTTTTAAAAAAAAATATCGACCCACGGAGTAAGACAACCCACAAGCATCCTCCTTAAGATAGAAGGTAATCTTCTCATGCAGGTCTAGAAAACCGCTAATCCCACCTCACTCATACACAATGGCATTCTTGCTCATGTGAGACTATCTCCAACGATACTGACCCAAATAGGAGACTCATTGGCGAGAATGCGTCGCGCCGTGGAAAAAGGTCACGTACCTATTTTCGTTGTTTTCCAACAGGAAACGCAAAAGAAGATGCACTGACAGCTTCCTCTCACTCTCAGCAGTGCATGCAGGGCGTGGTCCCCACGGGTCTGGTCTCCCTTTCGCTCAGCAACGAATGGACAGGAGCAAATGGAGCGTACGAGCGGCGCCCAGATGCAAGCAAGCACGGGCCCCACATGCACTATCCTTCTCACACGAACTGCATAGCACCAACAATCGGTCAACAGCGCGTGACCCATTGGCCGGAGCATGCGACGTATATTTGGGCTGCGCCTCGCCTCGCACGCATTTTGCGTCCTCGGTATGCCTATCCCGTTTGAGGCTATTTTTTTGCGCTAAAGTAAGGTGAAGCACGTATTTTGGGTTTATGTATCGGTATGGGTAAGCCGTTGGAGATAGTCTGAGAACCAATCTCCGTCCTTGTTAGGGATGACCTTTCTCCTATTAAGTTCCCGTATGGGAAGAATTGGTTCCATCTTTATCCCCTAATAGAGAAATTTCTCATTGAGAATAGGAGATAGAGGGCCATTGACATCTCTAGTTGTTCCGGGTCCGACATGATTTGATTCCAGGCATTACACACATGCACTCCTTATCCCAGGTGAGGCTCCTCTGCTTTTGATCCCCTCCGGTTGACTGGTTCCGCTTATCCCTCCCTCCCTCTGAGTTTGTTTAACTTGAACCAGTGCTATTTTGTAGAAAAACTACCATTTGTTTCTGTATTATTATTAAGAGTAAATTACACGGCCGGTCCTTAAAGTATTCGACGATTCTCATTTGGGTCCCTAAACTATGAAATCGCACGTTTGTCTATCTAATGTATTTAAGTGATCTCATCCAGATCCAAAATAGACACGAGAAAGATTAGAAGCTGACGTGGTCATCCACGTGGACATGATTTGAACAGAAAACACCTGAGACATGCAACGTCCACATCTGGGTCCCTGGCAGTGCTCGTCGGGCGAGCGCGCGATCACGTTCACCGCAAGGGTGACGAGCATGTGCTCCTGGACATGCAATGACAGCTCGGAGCGCGTGCACCCGGGCCGCACACCCAGCAGCAGGTAGTAGTCCACGTTGCACACCTCACCGGCGGCGACGCGGCTGCGCAGCCCCTGGATGCGGGCCGTCGGTTTGCGGTGCGCGCCGGCGATCTCGCGGTACCGCACGCCGCCCTGCGGCCGCCACGGGGCCATGGGTGTCCACTTCCCTATGCGTACACGGACGTCAAGTCGCGACCTCCTCCGTTAGTCCGAGCACAAGCACTCCCCAACGGCGACCCGTGCTTGAGCAGAGCGGCGGCGCTCGCCCACGGTGGCCTGCGCACGAGGCGGAGCGGCCGTGCTCGCCCACGGCGGCCTGCGCGGACAACGTGGTGGACGCCGAGGGACTCCAGGAGGAGCA